GGAAAAGTACTCGAAATAGGGCGGAAAGTCAAAAATTTGCACTAAGTGCTCAACTCGGCGAGATAAGCACTTTTGTGCTAAAAGTGACAATGTTAAAACGTTGAGTCAAAATGTACTTTTTTTTCTTAGGCAAAGTGAGATAGCTTGAAGCAAACACTATTCTATTGAAAGTTGAAACACTATTCTATTGAAGTTTTTCGGAAAAGTACTCGAAATATGGCGGAAAGTCAAAAATTTGCACTAAGTGCTCAACTCGGCGAGAAAAGCACTTTTGTGCAAAAAGTGACAATGTTAAAAAGTTGAGTCAAAATGTAATTTTTTTTTTGTTAGGCAAAGTAAGATAGCCTGAAGCAAACACTATTCCATTTAAAGTTTGAAGTTTTTCGGAATGTACTCGAAATATGGCGGAAAGTCAAAAATTTTTACTAAGTGCTCAACTCGGCGAGAAAAGCACTTTTGTCCAAAAAGTGACAATGTTAAAAAATTGAGTCAAAATGTAGGGGTTTTTTTTGTGAGGCAAAGTGAGATAGCCTTAAGCAAAGACTATTCCATTGAAAGTTTGAAGTTTTTCGGAAAAGTACTCGAAATATGGCGGAAAGTCAAAAATTTGCACTAAGTGCTCAACACGGCGAGAAAAGCACTTTTGTGCAAAAAGTGACAATGTTAAAATGTTGAGTCAAAATGTACTTTTTTTGTTAGGCAAAGTGAGATAGCCTGAAACAAACACTGATTCATTGAAAGTTTGAAGTTTTTCGGAAAAGTACTCGAAATATGGCGGAAAGTCAAAAATTTGCACTAAGTGCTCAAGTCGGCGAGATAAGCACTTTTGTGCAAAAAGTGACAATGTTAAAAAGTTGAGACAAAATGTAATTTCTTTTGTAAGGCAAAGTGAGACAGCCTGAAACAAACACTATTCCATTGAAAGTTTGAAGTTTTTCGGAAAAGTACTCGAACTATGGCGGAAAGTCAAAAATTTGCACTAAGTGCTCAACTCGGCGAGATAAGCACTTTTCTGCAAAAAAA